TCCTAGAGCCATTTTCCTCTTGGCCTTCGGTTTTAGTTTTTATGAGTTTCCAATCTTTAAATTGGCACTCTATTTCTTGCATATGATTATTGAATGATCTCTGAAGTTCATTCCACATATGAGAAGAGTCGACAATGCGACGCCCTTGAGCGCATGCTTTCCTGGATACGATTTATATCCAGAGAGCTATTCTCCAGATAACAAAATGATTGTTATCTTCGCAAAGTTCGACATTTTTACTACACGTACCTGTATTTGAATTTGACTCCAGGCATTGCATTGTAGGTACTAACCATTGGATACTAACTTTAATAACCAGAACGCACATGCAAATCGTTCTGGGAGAGGATATTTTTAAAAGCAACTAGCAGACGAATATATCGTCTCTGGTATAAAATATCTTTTTTTAATAACCAGGACGCACATGCAAATTGTTCTGGGAGAAGATATTTTTAAAAGCAACTAGCAGACGAATATATCGTTTCTGGTATAAAATATCTTTTTTTAATAACCAGAACGCACATGCAAATCGTTCTGAGAGAAGATATTTTAGAAACAACTAGCAGACGAATGGATCGTCTTTGGCATGAAGTATCTTTTTTTGTTACTACTGCAACTTTATAACTATTATTACTACTATTGTACTATTGTAACTACTATTTATTACTACTATAATATTTCTATTACTAATAACTATTTAAAATAAGCAAGTGACTGCTTTATTTTTCAGAAATCATTATTTTTCGAAATTATATATATGTATATATATATATATATTTATTTATGTAAAAAAATTTTATAAAAGTTGAACCCCATAAATGTTGAATAAGAATGAGGAAGGTATCATTAGAATATCGCAAAAAATTTATAGATGAAGAAAATCGTGAAAATTTCAAAATCATGTTTATTTTTAGAATAATCTCAAGAATACAAATATAAGTTTCACTGTGGACATCAGTTGCAGGACATCCTATACATACATACATATATACATACATACATATATACATACATACATTTAATATACATATATACAATATATACATATATATATATATATATATATATATATATATGTATTATGTATGTATGTATGTATGTATATACAGGGTGTCCTGCAACTGATGTCCACAGTGAAACTTTGTATTCTTGAGATTATTCTAAAAATAAAGATGATTTTGAAATTTTCAATATTTTCTCCATCTATAAATTTTTTGCGATATTCTAATATAAATATATACAGGGTGCCCCAAAAAGATTGGAACACTGAACAATCTCGAAAAGTATACGTTTTACAGAAAAAAGTTTCAGACAAAAATTGTAGGGAAAAAAATCTATTTACTAATCTTATCAATTTGACTTTGGACGGCGTTACCAAGGTCAGAATAATGTCCTCGAATTTCTTAGATGGAATCTTATATTTTTTATTACATATTCTTGTAGCTTATCTCGAGAGCTTTCCAAAACATTATAATAAAATTATTTTTTATTAAGTGCTCTTTGAGTTAGGTTAGAAGCTAACAATTTTTTGACATAAAATGTTAAATATCTTTGTAAAATAATCCATTTTCGGTAATCATACCTACTTTCTTGCACAGTATAATAAGATCAATAAAAAAACAGATAATTGTTAAAAAAAATATGTAATATTCAATATGCAGTAAGCATACTTTTTTTATAAGCAATTGTTTTTTTTTTTACACCAATTCATTGGTCTCATTATTCCGTGCAAAAAAAGATATGATTACCGAAAATGAAATATTTTACAAAGATATTTTACATTATATGTCAAAAAATTGTTAGCCTTTGTAACTCAAAGAGTACTCAATAAAAAATAATTTTATTAGTGTTTTGGAAAGCTCTCTAGATAAGCTACAAAGATATGTAATAAAAAATATAGAATTCCATCTAAGAAATTTAAGGTGATCTTATTCTGACCTTGGTAACGCAATCCAAGGTCAAACTGATAAGATCAATAATAGATTTTTTACAACTTTTGTCTGAAACTTTTTTCTGTAAAACGTATACTTTTCGAGATTTTTCAGTGTTCCGATCTTTTTGGGACACCCTGTATATACACACACACACACACATATATAATATATATATATATATATATATATATATATATACATACGCATACATACATACATACATACATACATGCATATAAAGAAATATACTATATAACCTTTTCATCCAGCCTTTCTTAAAGGAAACTCTATGTTGACAAAGAGGCAGACGTTTTGCGTTATATTATTCTATGTATGAGAGAGAATAAGATAATATGACTGTCTGTCCTTGTCTAACTGCACGATTGCAGTTCGCTCTATCGCGACATCGCGCAACTAATTTTCTGCTCTGTTTTATTCCTAAATGTCATTTCGCACATACACATGTGAATGAAATATTCCATAATCGAGATCTTTTTATTAGACTTCTAAACTTATTTCTGCAAGTTCACTAATATTCCTTTATGCAATCTTTTGGAGGAAGCGGTCTTATTTTGTACGTATAAATTGTGAAACTTTTATACAAGCAAATATTGTTATGACGTGACGCGAGAAACCAAAAAAAAAACTCGTATTTAAAAATTTTTTGTTTTTTTATCACACATTCAGACTGCTCCCTCTTTTATTATTGTATTAACTTTAATCGTGGAAAAGCATTTGTTATTCTATTAACGCAATAAAAACTTCTTGATTGTGGCAAAATATAATCGGTTCGGTCGGTAAAAGTAGACCTCCGGCATCCCCTTAAGTCGGTGAACGGAAATTCGGTGGTCAGTCGCGGGTCTAGGTATTTCTTATTCTAGGGGAGAGAGAGAGAGGTAGTTAGAGAGAACATACACGGTGGTACATGAATAGACATATATATTGCAGACGCTTACAAATAAAAAAAAATAACCCTACGGGGAAAGAATAGATATTAACAATTTGACGAGATAATAATAAGTAACAGGGATTATTGAACATAGAAAATTTTACCTACAAAGAGGTAACTCGCGGCGTCAATGGTATCGATCCTTCAATGATCGGAAATCCGGAATACAATAAATAATTATGATAGTTAACAATCGCGGCTGATTGAACAACGGTATTCTAACGACGAAAGATATAACAATGTTCGGTAAACGGACCGATAACTCAAACTCGCTATCACGTGAACACGGTATGCGTAGAGGTCACATCAACACGAGTCGAAACACGGCGCGATACAAAAAAAACGGTTAACGAGAATTAACGGCAATTTCGTGACTTTCTTGCGCGACTCTTGCCGAGTCGAAAATTGAATAATTTACACACTCGCGGAGAACGGCTACACGCAAATTTCGCAATTCTATCCATAGAAATGCTTAAGGTATAAGATTTTACACTTGATTATCGTAACTTAAAAAAAAACGGGATCTCGGAACATAACGGTTAACGAGAATAGAAGATTCTCGCTTTCAAAAAAGATTGACTGTTGGCGGCATTCCGCGGAGAGGGCGAATCTCGTGAAACCCAAAGCCGGCTGGCCTCGCGGTAACGTTACTTGAAGAGAGAGAGCACCCTCTCTCTCGAACAAGGCGATACAGTAGACGAAAAAAACGAAACGGTACTCCCGGTAATTACTTTAATTTCACGGTACCCTCGACACCAACCAACACCCACGACACTCACGAACAGCTACCCGAGAGACGGTTTACAATAATTGGCGATAAAGTCCGAGGTCCTGGTGGTATCTAGGCCGGTCTCTGGAGCCCAGATAGCACAAGGATGTCTAATGTATGTCCAGTGAATATCCATTCTTGGACATTGGGACATCCTTTAAAAATCCAAATAAGGTCCGTCGGACATTCGATGAACGTCCATTAGATGTACATTATGCACAACTTGGTACGTCCACAGAATGTCCGAAATATAGCCAACTTTGGATCAATTATGGATTGATTTTGGATCTATTATGGACTGATTTAGGATTTATTCTTTTAATTGTAAATATTAATTAAAAACTACAATTAAATAAATTTTTGTTTAGTTTTTATTTTTATTTTATGAATAATACAATCATGTGTTAAAAAATATTTAACACAAAACAATATATAATTTTTATATTACTTTTATACGATAAACTTTGGTATAGGAAGAACAGCCGTTTAATAAAATACTATTAAGTTTTTAATACTTATAATATTATATATATATTAATAGTTAAATAACTTTTCTTCAATATCAATAACTTATTTCATCTATGTAATAATAATCGAAGTCATATACATATAGCTAGTTTATATCTTAACGCATTTTATAAAAATTGTTCATTTTGTTAATACAATTATCTATTTTTTACCATTTAAGTCGCGCGCAAATCCGTATATATCAGAGATATTTTTTGTATTGTGCGTAAACACGATATAAGTCCTCATATATTAATTTGGTATTTCTACTGTGAGAGTTCAGTATCAGCAATATATCAATAACTATCATCTAATATAAAAATACATTTTTATATTAGATGAAAGTTATTGATATTGCTGATATTGAGCTCTCACAGCAGAAATATGAAATTATGAGGCCTTATCGTGTTTACGCACAATACAAAAAAAATTTCTGATATATTATATGGATTTGCGCGCGACTTAAATGGAAAAAAAATAGATAATTGTATTAACAAAATCCGTAATATTTTAACATACTTTTAACGCAATCTATGTGCGCAGAACAAAAACATAAAAATTCTTTTACATACTTTTAACGCAATCTATGTGCGCAGAACAAAAACAAAAATTCTTTTAACATACTTTTAACGCAATCTATGTGCGCAGAACAAAAACAAAAATTCTTTTAACATACTTTTAACGCAATCTATGTGCGCAGAACAAAAACATACAAATACTGTGGAATAAACAAAAGAAATAAAGTAAAAAGGGAAAGAAATACATATATATAACGAGTATATATAAAATTATATGAAATGTTAACGAAATTAAATATCTTATAAATCTTTTGTCCGTAAATAATCTAAATATTGTTTAACGTGTTATTTATACGTTTAAATTAAATTTGACGGCGTGTTTTATAGAAAATCTATCTTTTTCTTAATATAATGTCGCTCAGAAAACAACTAAACAAAAAATAAAAATAATGCAATAAATAAAACTTGTCTTTGATCACACATATCAGTTGAATAATCGAAGTCATATGGCTTATATCTTATAGCATTTTGTAAAAATTATTCATTTCATATTCGCCAATTTTGTTTCACTTGCATCGAATCGTTCCTTTGCTCTTCGTAGCCACTTTTGTGCAGATTCTTCTATATCCTTTTTCGTAAATGATTCGTTGTATCTTTCCCCTGCAGCTGTAATATAGAATATAAATCGAGTAAAAATGTTTTTGAATCAGTTAATTATTTACTTTTAGAGGTCTTCGACTTTTTACTTCGACTTTTACGTTTTAAGCTGTTAACTATTTCGCAAATATTGTATGTTGCATTAGATTTATAGACCTTTTGATATAATACATACATATATATATATATATATATATATACAATATACATATATATATATATATAATACATATAAACGTTAAATAAACAAATCAAAATCCGGAAATCTAGACAGAAAGATCGTAAAAAATTTAATTTTTAAATTAATTTAGATAATATTAATTTTTTACCAATTAACATTTCCGCCAATTTCAATTCATAAAACTTCTTTTTATGTTTCTTTCCAAACCAACTGTAGGTTTGTGCTAATTTATTACTTAGAAGTTGGTTCAAATTTCGTTTCACAAATTCATAGCAATGTTTGCCACCAGTACGTAATGCTTCTGTTACCTGCAATTTGTGTGTTAATGTTTATTATTTTATAACTTTAAATATTAATTGTATAAAAAAATGGTATGCATATAAGATATATATGTATCTGTGTGTGTGTGTGTGTGTGTGCGTGTGTGTGTGTGTGTGCGTAAACATACACATTTATATGTACATAATAGCAAATACATAGTAAAATAAAATATTTACATCTAAAAAATTAAAGTATTTAATATAAAAACAAAATACGTTACCGATGTCTCAAAATTGACTTGGTTTTTTAAAAATTGCTCGACTTCTTGTAATTCTTCTTCCGTTTCTAATGGAAGTGTAAAAAAACAGAAAACTGATTCCTGTCTTTGAATGCCATTATTAATGCCATTAGATTGATTTAATCCAATATTTTTTATCTCTCGAATGTCTTCGGACGTTTGCCACAATTGCGCCTTGAAGTAATTTTGTTGACGAATTATTTCTTTAAAATATATTTCTGGAAAAACAATTATTACAAATAATTTTGTATAAACATATATACGCAATGAATTAAAAGTAATATATATACCATTTTTATTCTGCATTTGAACGTGTGCTGGACAAAGGTGACACGTGCATTCGAAATTAGTAAATGGTAAATTTCTTTTCTTGAATTAACACAATTGACCTCAAAATTATTGTCCTGTTGTGCAGCTACCTGTTTGTCTATAGCTTTCAATTTTTGTAAAATAATAAAATTAGTTTAATAAATTAAATATAAAAATATTTTTCAATATTTCTTAATATTATATAATAATAATAATTAGCGCTACGCGTGTCTCCCACGAAATGGGAATTATTTAAACTTTCACATCTTTTGTAATAGTAAATAATATTCCATCTTTAGATTACAGTTATGCATTCAAAAATACCATATTATCTGATTATTGATGCCTTTTTCCAGACTTCTTATAAAAAATATTATATATAACAATACATTATACATATAATATCACTTTTTATAGTTTACTATTAATTGTTAATAATTAAACATACCTTTTATACGCTCGAGCTTTTTCAGAGACAAATTATGTTGAAAAGACTCTCCAGAACATGAACTTCTTGATGTGTTACTTCTTGCATCTTGTGTTATTGCAACTTCTTCATCGGTATTTTCTCTTACCTCATCTTGTCCATAATTGTCTATAAATATAGATAAAATTTTCATATATTTATTTATATTTATTTATAATTATATATTTACTTTTTATTTATTTAGAGTTAAATATTTAAGTATTATATTAAAATGTAAAACTTTTGTTTAAAAATAATGAAAAATATTTGGAAAAAGAGAGTGTTATGTATGTGTGTGTATATATATGTATGTAATATTTAATTGTAGAGTCATGAAATTATTAAAGAGACTTTATCTTAACTTATCGAGATTTTCTGCACGCAGATGTATACACTCACGCGTAGAAAATCTCCGAAAAGTTAAGATAAATTCTCTTTAATAATTTTATGACTACAATAAAATAAATAATTCTTCCTAAAGATTTAAAAATACAATACATACATTTTATTATAAAAAATTAATGTTACTTATAAAATAATGTAAATAAACCTTTCAAAGAAGGAGGTGTCGGCACAAAATTGTATCTGCATTCGTCTTCTGAAGAAGAAGAAAAAAATTGCTTTTTCCTAATTTCCTCTTTTTCTTCTCTTCACCAGACATTTCCGAGTTTAAATCTGATGTATTTTCAGCTTTTTTACACTTCTCCCTTGCTGTTATGTAATCATCTAAAAAATGTGGAAATAATTAAATAGTTAATAATTTGTATCAATATATAATAATTGACTATGAATCACTTCATATCATAAATATATTTTTATTAATAAACTCTTGAATAAGTTCCAAAACGTACTGTAAGTGCTATTTCGAAAAATGGTTATTCCATATGAAGGCCAATGTATATCCGGCTCTTCATTTTTTCGAATTGCTGCTATTACTTTATCTTGTTGGAAAGATGGCCAATAACAACGATTATTATTAATCCATGCAGTTGGTACGGCTTCAACTGAATTTTCTTTGTTGAATTTTACAACAGTCCACGATGATCCCGGCATATTATTTGAAAAAAAAAACTGTATACAAGTACATTGAAAGAGGAAAAGAAAAAGAGAGAAAAGGGAAAGCAGAAGAGAGAAGGGAGAGAAGGAGAGGGGGAGAGAGGAGACAGAGAAAATGTATTGCATGCAATTATAATATTTAATTCGAATGTAAAAGGGGAAACACAACATACTGATCTTTATATTTTAATTTTAAGCATTTATATACAATTTGCGCTATGTTCCACATCTGTAAGTTAGTTTCAAGATTATCGACTAAATAAATACCTAATTGAGATGATCTGCAGGGTTCAGAATAAAAATCAATGAATGACTTATATTTATGTCCAATTACAAAATATCTTTATCATTTGAAACAAAATTCTTAACAACTATAATAGCTCTATCACTTAAATAACAACAATTATCAGGTTCATCTGTTTTTAACGTATAGTTTTCAAAAGTAACTTTACTAAATTGTTTGCATATCTGAAAATCGAATGTGAATTTAAATTATTAATGAGTGGACCGTTTAAAATGCGGATTGTGAAGTTTACTATTAACTGTCTTTAGTTTTTGATTATCATTAACACAAAAATTTCGTTCACTTATTCGACAACAATTTGTTCTAATACTTTATCATTTTACGAACCATTTTGTGAAAATTGATTGCAAATAAATTTCAAATG